CCACTGGCGATTTCGTCTTTGGCGCGCCTGTTGGCGTTTCGTCCGGCGCACTTCGCTCTCAGTTGAGCGCCCGCTAAGTACAGTCGCACGCGTGATATTGTTGCCCTTCATGAAAATCTATCGCTTGTAGGTGAGTCGTAGTAAGTAGTTCTAGTGACAGAGGAAACTTTCGAGGTGGTTGGACGAGAATGAGTGGAACTGCAAAGTTCCAAAGGTCAGCACAATTGAAAACAGTCACTCGCGAATGTTTTTGCCCGTGAGTGACTGAATTGAGCATTGTGGTACAGTCACCAAGTTGCGGAAGAAAAACATCTACAGTTCATAAACAACAACGGTTGCCCGTCATCAGAAATGTTTACCTGGTTACAAACTTAAAACCCTAGAATCGATTCACATTCCAATTTCATATTACAGTCACATTTTTGCCCGTGGCGACAAGGGCGAATGCTGCTAAATGCATAAAACTCGTTTCACGCACTTGCCGCCCGCCTAGCTGGTGTTCATGCAATGAGCACCGAATTGAGAAAGCTTGCTTTCTGTTCTTGCAAAGGCAACGGGCTTCATTACAATTGCAGTAATACAACATTCTCGTCCAACTATGGATGGATTATACAGATATACAACTAGGGTGGGTGGGTGGGGAGTGGAACTGCAAAGTTCCGAAATGAAGTCGTGGGTGGAGGCCGAATGGCCTCCAACCCTCGTTATGTACTCGGCGAATTGTAATTCGCCATTGCTTTGCTTCGTGACAGTCAGCTGCGCTTTCAAAATACGCATTTTTAGAAAGTGTTACACACTTTTGAAAAATTTCATTTGTAGTTTGGAAGTGTGGTAACCTAAAGTCAACGAATTAGGGCCGTACTGTACTGCCTCTCGTGGGAACAAATTCATGCAGGAGTGAGGGAGGGAGAATCCCGATGAGTCACCCGATGGAGGGAGGGAGACGCCCGCCTGAGGGGTGGAGATGGCACCGAAATTCGCGAAACGTGAGGCCTGAGTCGATCACATGGCCTGTGTCCATGACTCCCTGACACCACAGGGTAAAAGATTCGTCAACTTCCTGATTTGTGGTGTTTGCCTGCTACCTACCGTACCATGTTGAAGGAGCAGCTGTAACAACACTGTCCCTGTCCTGGCTTACAGCTCTCTGCCGCCTTGCCTCTCTATCAAATTCGGAATTCGCTGGTCAAATCAGGTAGCAGTCCCTAAAAAAAATTGATCGAAGTCGTGTATGTCTGTTTTTTAGGTGGAAGACGCTCAGGAGGTAGTGATCTCAATTAGTTTTTTCGTTGATAAGCCAGTTACGTTCAGAATCGTCACGCCAGCCTGGAGAGCACAACGCAGCATCAGGCGAACATAACGACAAACGAGGCGCAGCGCTGAATCATGGTGTAACACCACGTAGAGGACTCCAAGATGAGCTTCTTGCTGGTTCCGCTTCTCTCCACCGTACCTACCACTCATCACTGGAATCGCATCACACTGTCACATCACATCCCATCAATTCCCTTGTGAACTATTTGAATGGCTCGTTCTTTCGACAGCTAAGCTCATCTACTATCTACTCCCTCTCGAGTGCTTATCTTCCCCCACTGGACATTCGAAACGGAAAGCCCCGTGATTTCCTTTTCTCTCAGCTGCCAACATAATACCGTCATTTGAGGTACTGCAAACAAAGAAGCCGCCTCGATTCAATAGTAACGCCGGCATGATGTCGATTTCACGTGCTGCTCTCGCTGTCTCTCTCCTTGTGTGCTTCACCGCGCTTCTCGCTCCTCCCGCGGCATTCGTCTCCGCGCAAAACGCTTTTCTCGTAGCGAAGGCCAAGACGCTTCGCGCCTCGGCAAATCAAGCTGCGGCGGACCTTAATGCGGCCCAAGCGGACGCCGTCAAACAGGCGGCTGAAGTCGCCGCCGCCAACCGAACTCTGTCCGATCTGCAGGGCCCGGACCCGGCTCTCAACGACCGCATTTCAATGATCGCCGAAATGAATAACAGCGTCGCCGATGCGCAGTACGATCTCGACATCGCAAACAAAATCCTCGTTCTCCGGATCGCGGATCTCGCGGCGTTTCAGGCCGATCCGTCAACGCACCCGCAAATCCCGGCGGCACAGAAGGCGGTCAACGACGCGACTCGGCGCGCGCGGATGACGTCAATGCTGCTAGAGGAATGGCGGCTCGTCGTGCAAGAGGCCGCGGACGCGGAAAAAGACGCGGAGAGGGCGGTAAACAAAAATCCGACTTCGTTGGTGGCGCAGGCTACGCTCGTGGAAGCGCAATTTTACCGCCAATCTGTGGAGGATGTGCTTCCGGATATTGTGGCGCAAGATGCGCGCGCGCAGGCGCGCTTGGATCGCGTTCAGAAAGAATTGCTCACTTTGCTCTCGCAGGGTTCCCAGGGAGAGAGCATTTTCCAAATGGCAGTGGATGATGCGAGAGGCGCGGTTAACGCCACGCGCCTGGTGTACGAGAGCGCGGTTGCGGCTGTCGCTAACGCGCAGAAGGCCCTTGACGATTACCTGGCGAGTAAGGCAAATGCGGTTACTGACACGAAGGCGCGTTTGGCGAAGGCGAAGCAAAGCCAGGCTGTCGCAGACAAGAAGGTGATTCAGCTCACGGATAAGCTAAAGGCTGCGCTGGTGCAAGCTGACAATGCGGAAAAGGCTGCTGGGATCTACAAGCCTCCTGCAACCAGCAGCAAGACTACCTAAACTTTCTTTTCCGGAGGGTCCAAGCCGTGATGAATCAGCGCGGGTGTGTCACTCCGCCACACCACAATCATACGTCGCTCATTCCGGAATATGTTTCGAGTGCACAGCAGTTGCACAAGCACTGCTCTGCTCGGCTCAAGAAAAACGAAATCGCAGTTCCTTTGGTTTGTCTGGAATGTCGCAGGTGTGTGCAGGTGTGCAGTGGGTTGGTTTTTGTGTTTAATTGTGATATACATAGTGCTATTCTTTTCATTCTTTCCATCACCCTACGGATAAGCTGTCACATCACCTGCACAGAGATGAAACCCGTAAGACAAGGTCCGCGATGACAATTTGTGGACAGAAGAATGTGGGGTGATGAATTGGGAGTTTGTAAGACAAATCAACAGACGAGCCAACAGGACAAGGTATAGAGAGGTGCATACCATACCTCCATGCTTTGAGAACAAGGCATGGGAACAAGGATGGTTGAACACGGGATCTCGGCTTGGAGAACAAACCATTGTGAGCACTTCCTGTCATGAACCCTCTGCAATCAAGCCGCTGAGGATATGGAGGCTTGAGCAGTGCCGGTGGCGAGGATTGGCAGGCAAGAGGAACTTGTAGACCGTACACTGATGAAAAGCTGTAATCGTGAGATGTAAACTGTACACTGTACATCTGTTAAACATGAACACAGTACATGCTGCTCCATGCAATATATCAATGCATAGTATTGCTGTAGGTCAGCCACCAAAAGCGCATGCGAGATTAGCGGCACGACAGCCGGCCAGTAACGACAAGGAATGCCATCCGGAAGTCACTGTAAAACGACCAGAGCGGGTAACGGAAAGTCGCCGGTCTGTTACGCTGGACGAAGAAATGCGAATACCACGCGCAGCCGTAACCGACGACAGGGGCCATTAGGAGGAAACTAGGGTTCCGTGTGACTGCAGATGTTGTGACGCAAGCGAGAGCGGCGAGGGTTCCCGCGGTGTGCCACAAACGAGTGGCTGGTTTGCTGTGCTCTTTGAGGTAAAACGGCCAGAACTCGGTATAAGTCGCGATACGCGTGTGCGGGGGTACTGCTGGTTTCGACACTAACGACGGCCCTGATGCGGATATGTGATCCTCTGCAGCATCCCTAGCCATAATAAAACGATAATTTCTGGTAGGTTGTGGGGTATGAAAATATATTTCCTACACCACACTGACTGGCGGTGGCCGCTAGGCTGGATTTACTACTAGGGTAGATTAGTAGATCAGAACCGCATCGTCCACCTACTGTTTTGGAAGCAAGAAAGCTAGCTGAAGGAGATAGCATTTACGAGATCGCCCATGGCAGTTCTTGAGTTGAGAAGCGAGCATTGGATAGGTGAAGTGGAGGGGTGGGTAGGTCGTCCAGTTGATCACTCTGGCTTCTTGGCGAAATCGTCGTAGCCAGTGAGGCGATAGACGATTGGAAGGTAACATGAAGGCGAAAAACCTTCATGAGATCGCGCGTGAAGGCTTACGAAAATGAACCCGCCCCTACGTGCTGGACAGCCCAGGTCTGTCAAACGAAACCAGCTCGTGAACATTTAGGCTGGTTACCACTCCAGGATTAAAAGTGTCGCAACACTCTTGAAGGGTACTGCGAAGTTAGAAAAGACATCACACCTCCCGGCGAAAACGCGCACGAAGCTGAAACGAAAAACGTGCGAAGTGAACGATTGTCCGCTGACTTGAATTTCTTCCATCTAAATGAATGCCCTCCCAACACCTAGCAGCCATGCAATGCACAAATGGCAGGTAATGCGGGATTTGCGGCGCATGCGCAGCATGCAATGCAACTTATTCCTCGTTCTGCGTCACTCAGGAAGTTGACGAAAACTGGCCATAGAAGGCGCGAAAATGGTTCGCGCAATGCGCACAAGTGATGCACGCAAGGGATGCGCGCAAGTGATGCGCGCAAATGATGCGCGCAAGTCAACTGCGCAGCTGACGCGCGCAACCGATGCCTTCCGAGTTCGCTTCTCGGTTTATGGGCGCAGATATTCACTTTAAACGACTTACCTTGGAGCGAGTGTGAGGTTTAATCGCTCTGACGGAAAGTTATCGTGGATTTCCTTCACTGTCCTCCAGCTTTCTTGCCAACATCATGGCGCAAATTCTAGTCGCGAAAGTGTTACCATCGCCACTCGCGTCGCGAACCTCGTTAGAATCATCCACTCAGCACCACAGTGCGCTTCGTAACAAACGTGGCGGCATGGCGTTTCCACGTCAGGTCTACGTCAGCAGGCGGATGACAGGAGGACACTTGGTGGTAATGACTGCCACGGATCCGAGCCACATGGCGCGCGGAGAGCCCACCACCAAGGAAAAGCCAGCTAAGCCGTTCGCAGAGAAGGAGGGTGTGATTGAAGGGAAGGCCGTTCTAGCGAAGCCATCGCTGTTGCCGCAAGAGCCTCCTAACAAGCTTACAGAGCTCTTTGATAAGGTAAGTTCTTGCTATGGTCTATAATATAAGAGATTCTCTTAGGCGCCTCACAGAATAATGTTGCTGCTGCCACCAGAGCCGTCTAGTAAACTCGTGCGACTGGGTGGCATCGGGTCATCTCCGGGACCCTCATGTTCTCAGGCCTCAGGCACACCTTATATCGAGTATGTTTGACTGCATGCAGGAGGGGCAATCCCCGTGGATTGACAACCTGACGCGTGATTGGGTGGCATCGGGTCATCTCAAAGAGCTCGTCCGACGTGGCGTGAGAGGCATCACCAGCAACCCTACTGTATGATCAATCTGCAGCTTAAAATCCCCTGAGTGATCGTGAGTGTGACTAAATGAGACTGAGTGTTAATTTTTTCTGTCTCGTTTTAGTCTATCTTGCTATTAGGTCTGAATTCGTGGTCTCAGGCCTTCATGAATGCTTGCAGTTTTCTTCTGTAAAAATCGGAATTTATGCTCTTAATTTTTTGTCTCACGAAAATTAGATCCTTAATTTGCTATTCGGTGGCTTTTGCAGATTTTTGAGAAGGCGATCAGTGGGACAGACGTGTATGACCAGCAGCTCCGGTAATTTTCACTTCGTGGCTGATAGCTTACTTATTTTACCATCAGTGAGGTTTGCTTGTCTCTGTAAGCGAAAATAAAGACTTTCCTGTCTCTTGTGCTGGGAGGAGGATAGGTGAATAAGTTACGGACTCATGGGGTTGATGTTGCGAAACCTTTATCTCAGCTGTTATCATATTTCTCAATATTATCCCATCCGCTATTGTCCCATCCGCTATTGCTACACATTTCTTTTTTCAGGAACATTTTGTTCCGCGAGGGGGTGCTGCTGGGGGGAGGGATGTTGGAGAGCCATGGGGAGGTGGAGAGGGGGGTGGTGGAGGGCGCTTACTGGGAGATGGTGAAACAAGATATTGGCACTGCTGCTGCTTCGTTAGAAGAGCTGTTCCGTGAATCTAACGGTGAGTTTGAGAGTGCTTGTATCGAGTACATGGTGGACATTCATAGGTTTGCTGTTTCTCTCCCTTTTTATAATAAAAAAAGAGCCTTTTTCGTTGAAATACACATTACAGTATCCAAGTTTCAACCATCTCTCGTCCAATTGATGCCTGCCACGTCATCAGGTGGCGATGGGTTCGTCTCCCTTGAAGTCTCGCCGAAGCTAGCGTACGACACGGCAGGTTCGGTGTCCCTGGCTCGGGAGCTCCATGCTGATCTGGCTCGGCCGAACCTGATGGTCAAGATCCCTGCCACCGAGCCTGGCGTGGCTGCGATCCGAGAACTGATTTCTCGCATGACGAACATAAATGCAACGGTAAGCACCCCTTCTCTCTGTCCGCCCCTCCTTTCTTTTCTGCTTTAACCCTGCTTCCCCCCCTGCCACCGAGCGTGGCACAGCTGCCGTACAAGAGGTATTATTCGTCTTGCAGAAAGAGACGATTTTTTAGGTGCCTCAAAACACGGTTGCCATACAAGAGAGGTTGTTCCTCTTGCAGGAAGAGTGTCAACGGCACCGTGAGCACTTTATTCTCTTCCTCATTCCACCCAACTTCCTTGCGGATCGAATGAACTCATCTCCTTCCCCGCCCCCCTCCGTCACCCTCCGTAGCCCATCCTTACATGACAGTTTGGCTTCTTTCCTCATTCCTTTCCCCATCCTCCCGCAACCCCCTTGGCCGGCCCCCCCTCTCCTCCTTCTCTGACACGCTACAGTGAGGTCATGGAGGCTCGTGGCAGCTGCCACGGCGTGGACCTTTTAGGGGGGGTGGAGAGAAGGGGTGGGCCTTTTAGGTCCATTTCCCCATCCTCCGCGTCCCCCCCTCTTTCCACCTCACTCTTTCCCCTTCCACGTTCCCCCTTTTTGCCCCCCCCCCCCCCCCCCCCCCACTGTTCAGCTCATCTTTTCTCTGACGCGCTACAGCGAGGTCATGGAGGCTTACGTGGCAGGCCTGGAGGACGCCGTGGCAGCTGCCAACGTGGCATCTGAGCTGTCAGCAGCCGCGTCTGACTCAGCAACAGGCGCCCTGCCACGTGTCAACCTCTCCTCATTCTCCTCCGTGGCTTCGTTCTTCGTCTCTCGCGTCGACAGCGCTGTTGACAAGCGGCTCAAGGTGTGTGTGTGACTATTGAGTGGCTCAAGGTGTGTGTGTGACTATTGAGTGGCTCAAGGTGTGTGTGTGACTATTGAGTGGCTCAAGGTGTGTGTGTGTGACTATTGAGCGGCTCAAGGTGTGTGTGTGACTATTGAGCGGCTCAAGGTGTGTGTGTGACTTATGAGTGGAACAAACTGGCTGAAATTTTGTTGCGGTTCAAGGTGCGAGTGTGGTGCACGCCTCTCCTCAGTCTCCTCCGTGGCTTTGTTCTTTGTTTTTCGGGTTGACAGTGTTGTTGACAAGCGGCTCAAGGTGTGTGTGGCTTATGGAATGGATGGATAGAACGGGTTAAATGTGTGTGCTGCATGTGTTGTACTCGCCTCGCCTCTGTTGCCTCTGTGGCTTTGTTCTTTGTTTCTCCGGTTGACAGTGCTGTTGACAAGCATCTCAAGGTGTGTGTAGCTTATGGATCGAACATGCACGCCTCTCCGCTATTGCGTCCATGGCTTCGTTCTTTGTCTCTCGGGTCGACAGGTATGCGTGTGTGTGTCGACTCGTAAAAGGAGCGGGCGGGGATTGTGCAGTGCATGTGTGGGTGAGAGAAGGAGCATGTTCAAGGTACTTCTTTGTCGAAAACGTCTCAAGGTGTGTGTACCGGTGAGGAGGAGGCATGTGTGTGGGTGAGAGAAGTAGTGAGCTCAAGGTATGCATGGCTTACAGAACGAGCGGGCTGAGTTGAGATTGTGTGTTGCTTATGAATGGCCATTGTTGATTGCTGGGTGATCTCCTCGTGTGTGTTTGTTCCCTCTGCCTGGCTCTGCAGGCCATTGGAACAGAGGAGGCACGTGCGCTCCTGGGAAAGGCAGCAGTGGCACAGGCAGTGGTGGCATATGACATGTTCAAGACCAAGTTCAGCGGTCCCAGGTGGGCTCAGCAGTTTCAGGTGAATTCAGCGGTCACAGGTGGGTTCAGCAGTTTCAGGTGAAATCAGCGGTCACAAGTGGGTTCAGCAGTTTCAGGTGTGCACCCCAAGTCAGTTCAGAAGGCCCAGGTAGTTTAATCAATTTCTAGCACAGCAGCCACTGTAGGTGTTGACAGGGGTGACAGATTCATCATATCCAGACACAAAGCACCAGTTTTTAACTGTCCAGTGGGACCGTGCTCAGGTGGAAGGTGTTAGAACAGCTCAGAGCGTTATAGCAGCTCAGAGCACAGGTGCAGCGACCATTGTGGGGCATCAACATGTGAGAAGTTTCATCGTATTCGGACACAAAAAGAACAAAATGATTCCTGAAATCAAATGTCTGTTTGCCAATCCCAACAACTCTCAGGTGGAAGGCATTAGAGTAGCTGGGGGCGACGGTGCAGCAGCCATTGTGGGCGTCAACAGGAGTGAAAGATCCATTGTCTCCGGACATTAGAGGAATACCAAAGTACCTGATTCTCAATGTCTATCTACCAATTCAACGCTTCTGAGATGGAAAGCTCTGGAGTAGCTGGGAGCGCAGGTGTAGCTGCCATTGTGGGCGTCGACAGGCGTGCAAGATGCATCGTATCCTTACAAATTAATAACACTTCTTCCCTGACGTTTAACATCAATGTTTACCTGCCAATTGGACCCTCCCCAGGTGGAAGGCTCTCGAGCAGCAGGGAGCGCGGGTGCAGCGGCCGTTGTGGGCGTCGACAGGCGTGAAGGATCCATCGTATCCGGACACAAAGTACATCGACGCTCTGATTGGTCCGCACTCTATCAACACCATGCCTGACGCCACCCTGCTCGCCTTTGCCGACCATGGGGAGGTGAGGGGTTTCGTTGTTGATTTGTTATTTCGTTCTGTTTTCAATCTATTGGTTACAGTGAACCATTGTCTGCATGCTTTTCTTCATCTCTTTTCCTGTTATGTTTTATCTCCCATCTGTTTGTCAGTGTCTGCTTGCCTAGAAGCAATACATACCGTAAGATTGTGGGGTGAATGGGTCCTGCACAAGGTCTGATACATTGATTACAACATGTTATCTTTGCGGGGTGTGTGCAGGTGAAGCGCACTGTAGATGCTGACGTGGATGCTGCCTATGGTGTGCTGGATCGTCTCAAGGCTGTTGGAGTGGACATGGAGGAAGTTGCCAAGGTGAGATGATTTTCTGCAGCTGCAAAACGCACCCTCACGTGCATGGGTTTACGGCGTTTCAGTTGTTTCGTAGGTCGTCTCAAGGCTGTTGGAGTGGACATGGAGGTGTTAGCAAGGTGAGATGATTTTCCACAGCTGCTAAATGTACGGTCACATGCATGGGTGCATCCCTGTGTGAATGTCATGACCATGTGCATGGTATGCTGGATCGCCTCAAGGCTGTGGGAGTGGACATGGAGGAAGTTGCCAAGGTGAGATCACCTTCTATAGCTGTTAATGCGTTCGCATGTGCCTTGATGACGCCCATGTCATAGGTGCATGGGTGCATGGGTGGCACGTGCATGGGTGCATGGATATGCATGCAATGTGTGCATAGGGAGGAGGGGAGGAAGAATGGAGGAAATTGCTGCTCAGTGGTGAGCCTTTTTTATTGCCCAAGCTGAATCAAGAGTTTGCGGTTTTGCTATCTTACCGTATTTGTTTGTGCTAATGGCTATGGCAGGAGCTGGAGGCCGATGGTGTTGCCAAGTTTGCTAAGTCGTTTGATGACCTGCTTGCTGCTCTCCAGCGCAAGGCCACCATGATACGTGGTGCAAGCATCAACTAGGTGGAACTTGGAAGTACTTGACTGTATGATGCTAGGGTTTGCTTGCATCGACCGGTATCTGCACTAAACGTCTGTGGTCAACTGTACATCTGTAAATAGACCTTATCGTCCACGGCATGTCTTCTACTCCATGTGGTAATGTTGGATCATAAATACTCAGCTGCAGCCTTTGTTGCTCTTGAACCAGCATGCATGACCAGCGCCTGCTAAGCCTTGGACATGGACTACTGAGCTGCTTGCACACTTCTTGGCAGAGAGAATTCTGCATACAGTGGATAGTTGCTTGTTGGTAGCTTTCCTCCCCACGAGCTTATCACCACCTCGCAATAGGTAGGATTCAGTGCCCGGCCATAGCGGAACATCCAGTCAGTATGAAGTGGATCCACGATGCCTGGATCACTCTCAGCTGTACATATTTCCATAGCACTTTTGACAATTTGCAAGCAAGACATGTCATGACCTGCAAGAAGCACCACAAACAGTTGAAACGAGCAGGATGATATGCAAGTGAGTTAGGCAGTGAATTTTGCTGGCAAGAACCTTGGAAGCGATGGTGGGAGTATATGTGCCCTGTGTTGATTTTCTTGCGTGCGATCGACAACACGTCTTTGAAATCTCCTTCTATGCCATTCAGCCTGCCACACGCAACCCTAGTGCATAAGAATTGAAATGTGACACGCCTCAGGAAACTCACGCCTCAGGAAACAAGAACTTACTTCCAGCTTCCAAGGAAGAACCTTGCAGTAGCAGATCCCTTGTGCTGGTTGAAATTCGCACACATGAGAGCAGGAATCGATGGTGGAACAGAGCTGATGTGTTGCCACAGAAGCAACGCTCCTTTCGCTCTTGCTGAGGAGCTTCCTGTCTTCATCCTGACATTGTAAGCTTGAAACGCATACCCTGGAGGCTGCAGCCCTTTCACTCGGAATTTCACCCAATTAACAACTGCAGGAGTGGATGCACCCCAGGATGTGCTCCCACACACTTCAGGTGTCTCTGAAAGCCAGAAATTCCCACTCTCCATCACCTCAACCTGAAACAGCAGCATGTGTTTTATGACTTTCACACTACAACAAATAGGCAAAACGGGTTCTGACATCAACAATGGGCTCACGTTCGACGTGAGCTATTTGTGATAGCTCTGCTATAATTGGTACCTGGTCTCGGTTATAGATGATGGCAGAGTACTCTTCGCCAGGAGCGTCTTGGCTCTTAGATCCAAAACACTCGTATGCTGCTGGTCGTAAAACATGTTTTAACCTATCCATAATCACTACGACAGTCAAAGACCGACAATGCCATACCTTTCAGCTCACAATGAAGATACTCGAGCTGCTCCTTGGATCCTGAACTCGATCCATTATCAGAAAGGAGGCTCTGTAACGCGGATTCGAAGCTGAAAAGACAGATCGCTACCTTCTTGAGTGAAAATCAGGGTGGGATGGAACTTGCGCAACATCTCGAGGCATGCGAATTTGCGTAATGCCCAAGAATTCGGGCTGCTTTCTGGTTCTGTGGAGTCTAGATTCAACATGAGAGCAGAAATTGCCCCGAGGAATGCCATAACGCGCTTTGCAGTCACGACTATCCTTAGAATTTCTCAAAACTGAACCTAGTGTTCTCAAATAAAACGTCTAACGCACGGACCCACAGTGAGTAAACAGGTTGCGCAATCCAAACAAATAACATGTGTTTGCAGCCCCGGTTGTGCGGAAGCACACGCAACTCGCTAGCTTAGCAGGAAGCACATGCTCGGATGACTATAACGAGCCTGGGCTAACCCGAGATGGGACGGATACACATCCCGGTACCTGTTCACTATCAGCAAGTTGATCAAGCTTGCGAAAGGTACCTGTTCGGCCACACACGCAGACCAGAGGCAGCAACTGAAAGCTGGACAGAGAAGCGAAGCTGGTTCTGGGCAAAGCAAATTCGTGAAATAATAATAGCAAGTTCCGGGACAAGTACACTTTGGTACACGATTCAATGCAAAAGTATGCACCAAGGACGTATTTACTTGAACCATGAAGGCGCAATTAATAGTACCACTCACCAAATTGAATATAATAGAGCCTAATCAAATTATATCATATTAATAGTCCAAATAGATGCGCACAACCAGAAATTCTGAAAAAGGAACAGTAATCCTCCGCTCCCGATTCTTCCGGCTCAAAGGCCGTCCCTTCCCTCCGTACAGCTCCCTGTTTAACCTCACATCAGCAACCCTCCATACAGTCACACGCTCCTCCTCATCCACCTCCACTAATGAAAGAATCTCCTCTGAGGTTTTCCCTCCAGGGGCAACTGCGCTGGTGCTCCCTCCAGCACTGAGATCCCCCTTATTAGCTTCCTCGTCCCCTGTATTGTCTGCTTCGCTAGGCAGCCGGTAGTGTACGTACATTGGAAGCTCCTTGAACCGTTTCAAATCGTCTGGAACCTTGACTACACGCTCCGCACCAGGGGACGAGACCTGGAGGGGGGAAAGGGTGGGGGAAGAACCAGGAAACCGAGCTTTAAGGGCATGTTCCTACGGCCCCTTATCAGGCCAACCTCTTATCAGGCTCGCGTCAAAACACACTGAAATTTCCCTAAACCCAAAAACCTTCGCGAATTTTACCAGGCAAGCCTGACAAGAGGTTTGCCTGATACAAGCGTAGGAACATGCCCTAAGACATAAGGTTTACCACAAGTTTTTTTGACTACGAAGCACATGTTTTGAAGGTTTGTTGGGGACTCGTACGACACGTCGTGGTGCTGGGTAAGCGACCCGAGGAGAAAGGGGTAAGAGGGAGATATTGATAAACTGACAAAAGCAACAGCCAACGAATGCCTGTTTGGGAAACTTGTGTCCCTGACAGGCATCACTTGGTTGTTTGAGCAACCGACCAACAATTTGAACACCCCTTTCTATTCTCTACTCTTCATTTTTTCTACCTACTTAGCCCCCCCCACCCCACTCTTCCCCGCTCTGCCCTCTGACCTTTGCCCCACCATTGTCCTCACCACTTTCTGAAGGTTTGCGGCAGCTCTCCCTTCTCCCCCCCAGTAATGACAAGCGTGTTGAGGCCATACAAGCACAGACTTACACTCGCCCATTAAAGGCTACTCACAACCCCTCCCCCCACCTCCCCCAGCACCTTAACCTGAATATCCTGAGGCAGCTCGCCCCTCTCCCCATCCGCAGTGACTAGCGCATTAAGCCTTATGACCAGAGCCCCATCCTCAATCAACACAAACCCACCCCCCCCCCCCTCTCCATTCCCCTCCCCTTCCTTCATCCGCCTCACCTCGATCTGAATTTCCTGAGGCAGCTCGCCCCTCTCCCCATCCGCAGTGACCAGCGCGTTAAGCCTTATGACCAGCGCCCCATCCTCAATCAACACAAACCCACCTCCCCCCCTCTCCATTCCCCTCCCCTTCCTTCATCCGCCTCACCTCGATCTGAATGTCCTGAGGCAGCTCGCCCCTCTCCCCCACAGCAATGACCAGCGCATTGAAGTTGTACAATCAGGCCCCTGTACTCGGTGCCTGGCTATAAGCTATCCCACTCCACCCCACTCCACCACACTCCACCCCCACCCTCCCACATTCCGCCTCACCTCAATCTGAATGTCCTGAGGCAGCTCGCCCCTCTCTCTTGCAGCAATGACCAGAGCGTTACAGCTCAGGGCCCTATACTCGTTCTCTAGCAATAAGCTATCCCACCCCACCCCACCCCACCCCACCCCACTCCACTCCCCCCGTTTCCTCTCCTCTTCACCTCAATCTGAATGTCCTGGGGCAGCTCGCCCCTCTCCCCTGCTGCGATAACCAGAGCGTTGAAGTCACGGAGGAACGAGTCTATGTCCTCCACCATTGGGGAGCCGTAGCTGCATGCACGGGGGATGGGGGACATGCAGTGAGGAGTGGACATTGCGGGTGGTATAGGTGGGGGATCACTGGCACACTGGGGCAGCTCGCCGCTCTCCCCTGCAGCAATGACCAGAGCGTTGAAGTAACGGAGGAACGAGTCTATGTCCTCCACCATGGGGGAGCCGTAGCTGCACGAGAATTGGGGGTTTGAGAGGAGAAGGGAGGGGGGACTATGTAGATTAGGATTAGCGACTGCGGTTGAGGTCAACAAGGAACGAGTCTATGTCCTCCACCATTGTGGAGCCGTAGCTGCACCGGTTGTGGGGGATTGGGAGGAGGGAATAATAATAGCAATCTGCGGATTAGGAATAGGGACTAGAGCTGGAAGCTCGCCCCTCTCCCCTGCTGAGATAACCAGAGCGTTGAAGTCAAGAAGGAACGAGTTTTGAGACGTCTCAAAACTAGATTGCCAGAGCGTTGAAGTCAAGAAGGAACGAGTCTATGTCCTCCACCACTGGGGAGCCGTAGCTGCGTTGAAGGGGGAGGAGGGATGGGGGATGGGGGATGGGTAATTGGCGAGTGTGGAGCACCAATGACCAGCGCGTTGAAGCCAAGCAGGAACGAGTCTATGTCCTCCACCATTGGGGAGCCATAGCTGCAGGGGGGGATGGAGGATGGGGGAGGGGGGATGGGTAATTGGTGAGTGTGGTGTGGAGCAGCAATAACCAGAGCGTTGAAGTCACGGAGGAACGAGTCTATGTCCTCCACCATTGGGGAGCCGTAGCTGTTCGCATGCATGGCGGATGGGGGATGAGGGATGGTAATTGAAGCAGCAATAAAGAGGCCGTGGTTGAAGTCAAGGAGGGACGAGTCAATTCCCTTTACCCTGAGGGAGTCGTAGCTGGACGGGTAGCGGTGGGGAGATGTGCAGAAATACATGGAATAATGAGAGATATGCTTCTACATATGGCCATATTTACAGAATGGATTAATAATGAAATTTATGCTTCTGCATATGGCCATATTTTGAGGCGCCTCAAAAATACTTCTGCACATGGCCTTATCTGCAGAATGGATGAATGACTAAAGATGGAAGCACCATACAGTCACACCCCCCCCTTCCCTTCCCCTGCAGTCACACACACTGAGCAGACAAATTACATACAGTTTCTGAGGAGACGCATTTGAATAACTTCGAGAATTCTCAAAAGTCTCACACACTGAGCAGACGAGAGGCACACAGTTTCTGCACGGATGTGCCTCCTGTCTGCTCAAACAAGACTCACTATTCCTAAATGCCCAAAAGAATCCCCCCACTGGCGCTCTTGGAAATCATCACATGCAACGAGGTGTATTTTGAGAACGAGGCGCCTCAAAACACTTCTTCCTCACACGCAACTTCAAAAATATTTGAGAAGCGTAATAAACGCAAAGCCCCCCTTTGCCTGTATACTTGACAACCCTCCCCTGTTCCCTACCCCAACCCCCCTCTTATCTCGCACTCACACTTCACTCAGCTTGTCCAGTCGCACGCGAATCCAGTTCCTTTCAAGGTAAACCTTGAATCCGAAAAGCTCATACCCCCCCCGGACTTGCTCCCCTCTAGAGCGACTCCTACCCCTAGCCCACAGGCTTCCCTTCACTTTCAATCACCCCCGTCTGTCCCCATCATTGTCACTCACACGTCACTGAGTTTGTCCAGTCGCACGCGGATCCAGTTCCTCTCGGGGTACACCTTGAATCCGTACAGCTCAAACTCCCCTCCGTACTTGCTGCCCCCAAGAACCGCCTGGGCCAACTCCAGTGCCGTTTGCCCCCATGCTGCCCCGTCCAATACAAAGCCCCCTCCGTCCAACCCGTCTCCAGGCTGGGAGGGGAGGGGAGGTAAGGGAGGGATGGAAGGAAGGGCGTTTGTGCTGTTGAGCTGTGAGGTACTCACAGTTCGCTGTCACCTCCCTCCCTCCCAGCACAGCACCTCCTGTGCCAACTCCAACGCTATTCGCCCCAACGCTATTCGCCCCAACGCTATTCGCCCCAACGCTATTCGCCCCAACGCTATTCGCCCCAACGCTATTCGCCCCAACGCTATTCGCCCCAACGCTATTCGCCCCAACGCTGTTCGCCCCAACGCTGTTCGCCCCAACGCTGTTCGCCCCAACGCTATTCGCCCCAACGCTATTCGCCCCAACGCTGTTCGCCCCAACGCTGTTCGCCCCAACGCTATTCGCCCCAACGCTATTCGCCCCAACGCTATTCGCCCCAACGCTATTCGCCCCAACGCTATTCGCCCCAACGCTATTCGCCCCAACGCTATTCGCCCCAACGCTATTCGCCCCAACGCTATTCGCCCCAACGCTATTCGCCCCAACGCTATTCGCCCCAACGCTATTCGCCCCAACGCTGTTCGCCCCAACGCTGTTCGCCCCAACGCTATTCGCCCCAACGCTATTCGCCCCAACGCTCTTCGCCCCAACGCTCTTCGCCCCAACGCTATTCGCCCCAACGCTATTCGCCCCAACGCTATTCGCCCCAACGCCATTCGCCCCCACGCCATTCGCCCCCACCCCATTCGCCCCCACCCCATTCGCCCCCACGCCATTCGCCCCCACGCTACCCCGTTGATGACAAACCCTCCACTGTCCAACCCGTCTCCGGGCTGGGAGGAGGGGTTGGAGGAGGGAGGGGGGAAAGGGAATGAAAGGACGGAGGGCGAGGCGAGCAGGAGGAAGGAATTGATTCACAGCATTCAAGATGAAGCCACCCAACCCATTCAAGATGATAGCCTTGAAGCAGTCCAACCCATCTCCAGGCTTTAAGGGGAAACAAGAAAGGAAGGAATTTTTAACAATTCTCATGAAGGGAAGGCGTTTTTAAGAATTCTCATGAAGGGAAGGCATTTTTAAGAATTCTCATGAAGGGAAGGCATTTTTAAGAATTCTCATGAAGGGAAGGCATTTTTAAGAATTCTCATGAAGGGAAGGGAGAGGAGAGGTACTTGACTTGTCTTCGCTTGAAGGTGGAGTGGAAAAAGGAAGGGGCTTGTAGGATGTTTTTTTCTCTCTCTATTAAAACCTTGACCAAAACCCTAAAGCCCGAATCCTGAACGCTGAAGCCTGATCTGAAACAAGATGTCCGAAACCTTGCACCCTGGATGAACCGATTCTTGAGTCGACTCAAAAATTGAAACCTTACACCCTGGATGAACCCTGCTGGCTGCTCTAGTCCTCTTGGAGGGGAAGGGGGAAGGACTAGACGCGCCAGCTTCGTCCTTCCCCCATCCCCTCACTCCCGCAGCCGGCTTTGAGGCGCCTCAAAACCCTGCTGGCTGCTCTACTCCTCTTGGTGGGACGCGGGAGGGACTAGACGCGCCAGCTTCGTCCTTCCCCCGTCCCCTCACGCAGCCTCACCGGAATTCTCCCAGCCCACCAAAGCCCTTGTACCGCTCTGCACTGCTTACCACCACGTCGGCCGCATCCTCCTCTTCAAACTCCCACTCGTCCTCCTCATCCTCCTCATCCCCCTCCCCCCTCTTGTCACCTCCCACATCCTCATCCTCTGTTGCGTGTGAGTGAATGGAGAGCAAGCGGGAGGCGGGCACGGAGAGGGATGGAGGAGTGGTGAGGATCAGAAGAAGCGTGGAGGAGGGGGAGGGGGGGGGGGGGGGAAATCAGCGCCTGCGGCTTCCTCTGTTTCATAAGCCACGTGTAGAAAGCCTCTGTTTTGAGACGTCTCAAAATCAGCGCCTGCGGCTTCCTCTGTTTCATAAGCCACGTGTAGAAAGCCTCTGTTTTGAGACGTCTCAAAACTGGAAATCAGCGCCTGCGGCTTCCTCTGTTTCATAAGAATGAAGGCAAGTGGGAGTAATGAGGAGGGATGGAGAAGCGAGAGTCAGAAGAAATCACGAAGGAGAAGGAGGAACGGGCAGCGCATATGGCATCCTGTCTTCCTTTGAAGTGAAAACACGAGGGTAGGATAATTGTGCCCATCCTGAGATGGACGCCCCTCTCCAGCGAGATTCGAGTGGATTCGAGTGGACTCCACTCGCTGCAGCACGACTATTTCAACGCCCTCTGCCGCCGGCCCCTCTGCCCCTCTCTCCGACCCCAACGTACTGAGCAGCCAAGATAACCCAAAAAAGCAACCCTCACCTTGACTTGACTCCACTCGCTGCAGCACGACTGTTTCAACGCCCTCTGCCACTGGCCCTTCTGCCTCCACCCATGCGTTGCCTCAGTCAGTCACAGTCAAAGATCCATCACGTTGTTGTCACCCTCACAGTCCATGAGTTGATTTTTGAGGCGCCTCAAAAATCAACTCACTGCCTCCAACCATGAGTTGTCACCCTCACAGTCAAAGATCCATACGATTGATCCAAGCGAGGGTGACAAGAACGTACCTTTCGTGCCGTCACTCTCCTCCACGCGCTCTAGAACGACCGTCTCTACACCCTCCGCCACCGGCCCTTCTGCCTCCACCCACGTGCCGTCATCCGCCTTATAGAGAACCACCGTTTCGCCATAAGCCGCTTCATCCCCCTTATAGAGCACCACCGTTTCGTTATCATTTCCACCAAAAGGCAGGTCTTCCTCGATTCCCTTTCCTGCGGCAATCTCGATGGAACCATTTTGTTTCGTTTCAACAGACCCCTTTGCCGTCTCACTCCCCTCCTCCGCCTCCTCCGCATACCCTACCACCTCGCCTTTCTTCCCCTCCTCCTCCTTCCTCTCCCTCTTATCCCGCTTCTCTTTTTTTCCCTTCTTCTCCTTCTTCTCTTTCTCTTTCTTCTCTTTCTTTTCCTTCTTCTCCTTTTTCTCCTTCTTCCCCTTGCTCCCTCCATCCGATTCGCCAGCTGTCAGATCCACTACATCCTCGTTATTGTCACTCTCGCTATTCGCAACGCCGTCTCCCGAAACTGCCAGCACTCGCAGAGTTTGCTGACGTGGGAGCGACGGTCCGAAACCCCTCGCGTGATAAAAACGAGCAGTTCTTCCAAGTGCGTAGCATTCGAAGCCTGCTGGTCGTGTAACTGTAACGGAAGGTGGCAGAGGATTCACTCGGATAGATGCGACTGCCGAAGGTGACAATAACAAAGGCGCAAACGCCATTGTCGCAGCTGTTCGGCTTACAGCAGCTGGAATATTCAAAGGAGTGAATCTAAAAGCGGGATTGACTGTAACCGCGGGTTTGAATGCAGCCGCGACAGCAAAGCAGGTCAGCTTCAGAGGCGCCTCAAAAGTAGCCGCGGCAGCAGGAAAGGTCAGGACCTCGCCTTGGATCTGTTTCGGGAGAGATAAACAGCCGGGGAGCGCAGAAGGGTTCCAGAGACGTTGGCAAACGCGCGACGACGCGGCGGGAAACGCGGCGGATAAAGCGGCTCTGTAATTCATGCACTGCGCGCTGACTCGTCGCCGTGTGACGCGACTGGGAAGCGGACTGAAAGCCAACAGGGGAGATTCAGACGCTGGTCCAAGTGCGATTTGCTGGGCAAGAGGAGAAATATGTGTTGAAAAAATCAGTGCCCTGCAAAGTCTCCGTAATACGAAATTAATGATGTATGATCAGTAGTGTAGTTGGCGTGTAGTCTGCCTAAGAGATTCTTCGAATTAAACTGTAACGCATAACAGTTTGCGAAACGATCTGCAGGTATGTCCAGGCAAACTCGTCGCTCGAAAGCATTTTGGTGAGTGGCTTTTGACTGGCTTCGGTACCAGCTGTGCACCCGGGTAACAAGTAACCCTGATTCTGGTTGACAAGGTCATGCTGGGTGCGCATCGCAGACGAGACAAAGTTCGTCGTGGTACCCCCCCAATGGTACTATATCGCGGATAAATCGCTTGTCTTCGCATAGCGTCATCCGAGACTCACGCAACCGTCGAACGTAGATTATTGTAGCTTGAAACTTCCAGGTAAAGGACATGGTAAAATAGTTCTGTCTGATTCCTCCTACAGCTTTTACAAGACCAGGCATTGGCGATGACGTGTACAAACCCCGTCGCGCAATCTGCCGTTGTTCATTGCCGAGATTAGCTTGACGCTTGTACGTGTAAACCGTTACGCATGAGTAGCTAAGTTCCGTGAGACCCGTAAGCCTTTCTAGCCAATGTTACATTCGCTAACGCGTCAGCTGCCATAACGCGAACACGCGGTCGTTCCGGGATGGCGAATTCCCTCCTACCGCTTGCCGTAGCGGCGACAGGCGCGCTGCTAGTCTCCGCCTCCACCGTCACCGTCATGCTTCCTCTCCTCCCGGCCACGTGGACCAATCGCCTGCTGCCAAGCGTCGCCCTTGAAGACTTGTGAGTTGCAAGCTCAGCTTACCATGCCTTGCTGTTCCCTCCATTCCAAATCCCCCATCCCTCATCCCCCATGCCCCCTTTCCCATGCCCCCTTTCCCATACCCCCTTTCCCATGCCCCCTTTCCCATACCCCCTTTCCCATGCCCCCTTTCCCATGCCCCCTTTCCCATACCCCCTTTCCCATGCCCCCTTTCCCATACCCCCTTTCCCATGCCCCCTTTCCCATGCCCCCTTTCCCATGCCCCCTTTCCCATACCCCCTTTCCCATGCCCCCTTTCCCATACCCCCTTTCCCATGCCCCCTTTCCCATGCCCCCTTTCCCATGCCCCCTTTCCCATACCCCCTTTCCCATGCCCCCTTTCCCATGCCCCCTTTCCCATGCCCCCTTTCCCATACCCCCTTTCCCATACCCCCTTTCCCATACCCCCTTTCCCATGCCCCCTTTCCCATGCCCCCTTTCCCATGCCCCCTTTCCCATCCCCGTCCCCCCCCCCTCCTTCCTTGCACTTCCCCCCTCTCTTCCGCCTGCCTCTGCAGCCTTTACTACTGCAGCCTCGTGCCCATGACAGCTGTCGTCCTTGTATTGGCTGTGTACGGCCACTGGCTCTGCATCAAGCTGTACAGGCATGCGTGATTGTAGGAGGAGGGAGGGGGGGATTTAAGGGGTATTGGCTGTGTACGGCCACTGGCTCTGCATCAAGCTGTACAGGCATGCGTGATTGTAGGAGAAGGGGGGTTTAAGCGATATTGACTGTGTAATGCCACTGGCCGTGATTCAAGCTGAACAGACGTGTGACTGTACAGGAGGAGAGGGAGGTTGGGAGGGAGTCGAGGGAGAGGTGCTTTAAGGTGCACTCATGCTTTGGCTCTGCCTCAAGTTGTACTAGCACGTGTGACTGTAAGGGGCAGAGAGAATCAAGAGCCATGGGCCATGTTTGCTCTTCTATTTCACTAATGTGATTGTAAGGAGTTGGAGGTGTTGGGCTGAGAAAAAGCCCTTAGGATCTTTTCAAGGCTAAGACTTGGAGTAGAGATGTTGTAATTGCGGAAGCGTTCTTAGTAACTTTGTTGAACCAACTTGCACTAGTGTGTGAGAGCAAGAGATTGATTATAGCAAGGTAATACAAAGGCTTTTATAAGATTACAAGGAATATGAAAGGGTGCAACTAACTGTTTTGCTATTGCGGTTCGATACAGTGACGACTCGAGCAACTGCTCAATACAGAGTCAGTTGTTTGTCCTTGCTGTCACGCTGTATTTCGTCAAGTCAAAGGTCGCTGACCTTTGACCTTCGCGTAACCTCCAGCTGTTACTCTCTGTCAACCTCCTCGGTTGACTCGCCGTTACTCCGCTGTGATTCGCCTCGTTTGTAGTCTATTGTTTCGACACAACAGGAGCGTTAAATTGCTTGTTTCCAACACTCCCCTTCGCTTCTGGAGTGTCGCTGCTGATGACGTGGCCTTGTCCAGTTAGCAGCATGCAATACTCGAACTTCTGCTTTCTGAGTTTCTTGGTCAAGTAGTCTGCTGCCATCTCGGACGTGGGACAGTAGGATAGCACGAGTGTTCCTTTCTAGATCTCGTCCTTCACGAAGAAATATCGAAGGGCAATGTGCTTCGTTCGATTCGCGAACCCGCTCTTGTTCGCTATGCGAATTGCGGATTGATTGTCGCAGAAGAGGGAGAAGCTGGGTAACTGAGCCATCTTTGCTTCTTCCATTAGTTCGCGAAGGTATAATCATTCCTTGGTGGTTGAGCAGAGTGCGATGTATTCTGCTTCAGCTGAGGAGAGAGCGATTAGCTCTTGTTTGTTCGACTGCCATGAAATGGGGCCGATAGGTCCGAGTCGGTAGATGTAGCCAGTGCGAGATCGCATGTTGTGTGGGTCTCCGGCGTGATCGGCGTCGACGTAGCCGATTAATTTAGGTGTCGTGGTTTCAGTTTTGTGGTAGATTAGGCTGACTGTCGGGGTGCTGACGAGGTAGTGTAGAGCATGATCGAGTTCCGCCATGTGCTCGGCTGTGGGCTTATTGAGGTGGGTGGCGAGCTGGCTCGCTGAGTATGATAGATCTGGTCGGCAGGTGACAGCTGCGAAGAGGAGGCATCCTAGCTTTCGTTGGTAGTCGCGTATGCCGGCGAATTTGAGTGGCGCGGAGATTTCCTCGCGATTTCCGTCGGTGTAACGATATGGCGTGATGATGGTAGCTGGAGTTACTCTGAAGCGTTTGGCGATGGTGTCGGCGTATTTTGCGGCGCTGAGGTAGATTCCTTTTTCCCTGTCTTGTATGTTGAGTCCCAGGTACTGTGTCACGGTAGACGAGACAGTGAGTGTGAGATCCCGCTGTAGCTCCCCTTCAAACCAAGTTGTTATGCCGTCAGTGGAGCCTATGTAGAGTAGATCGTCTACGTAGATGATGAGGAGGATGTAGTCGGTCCCTTTAGTGAGTCGGTACATTCCTTGGTCATGCGGTAGTTGACAGAATCCGATGCAGATTAGTCGGGTGTGAAGGTACTGCTGCCACAGTCTCGGGGCTTGGTTGATGCCGTACAGTGATTTTTGCAGCGGACAGACTTGATTGGGGTCTGCGTTAGATCCGTGTGGTTGTTCGACAAAGATCTCGGCGTCGACGGAAGCATACAGAAAGGCGTTGGCGACGTCGATTTGGCGGAGCTTCTTCCGCTTCATGGCAGCTATCGCGGGGAGGATTCGGAGAGAGGTATGTCTGCTAAATGTTGCGAATGTTTCGGTGAAGTCTCGTCCGTGCTCTTGGTCGAAGCCGCGCAGGACCCAGCGTGCCTTGAATTTGTCTATCGTTCCGTCAGCTTTCGTTTTCACGCAGAAATCCCATTTTCCCGTGAGAATGGTTTTGTTGCATGCTACTCCGATAGGCACGACTTTCCAGATGTTGCGTTATTGTAGAGATTTTAATTCTCTATCCATGGCTTCGCGCCATTTTTCTTTATGCTCCCCCCCCAGAGCCTGCTGAACCGTGGCAGGCTCCTTCAGCGGTGCTGCTCCGTGGACGGCGGTGACGAGTCCCAGTATCTGCAGCCCACTCTGTGTGTAGCGGGGGAGATTTGCGTCCTCAGGATAAGCTGCTCCTGCTTCTGGATCAGGTAAGAAGTTGGGCCCTATGTGTTCGGAGACGTTGGTGTCGACCGGTTGGGTTGTAACGTAACCGTTGTCGGCGAAGTTGTAGTAGACTTCGGCGTTGACACTTTCGCGAGGGTTGTCGTCGTCCATGGGAATGTCCACTGAGCAGTACGGAAGAGGTCCGGCTTCCTCCGAAGCTCCGTCCACGTTCTGCTCATCCCAGTCAGCTTCATCTGCTGCCGAAGCGAAGGCTCGGTTGCTACGGATGCCGCCCGTGAGGTCTTGATCTGCTGCCAGGTTGTCCAGGTACGTTTGAAAGGAGAGTCGTTCGTAGAAAATGACATCACGTGCTGCTACTGTTTCCTTCGAGTGGACGTCGAAAATATTCCATGCGTTGTAATGTTTTTCGATGCCCAGGTGTAGCCCTCACTGTGCGCGTTGGGAGAATCGGCCGGCTCGTGCAGCTGGGGGTCGGTACTGTACCATGCAGCCGAATACTCGTAACATTTTTGTGCTGCCCAGTTTTCCTGTCCACAGTAGATGCGGTGATGCGTTGTTCGAGAGCGATGATGACGAGAGCAAGTTGTGCAGCATGACAGCGTGGTCCATCGCCTCGGGCCACTGGTGGTTTGGCAGTCGCATGCCACGTAACAGTTTGCGCATGGTGTTCTAGAGGGTTCTGTTCATCGGTTCAGCCACGCCTTGCTGTTGATGGGCGTAGGGAAGCGAGATGAGTCGCTTGATACCTCGTTCTGCTAGGTACTGCTTGTGTTAGAGACTAAGGACGGAGTCTATGAAGATTAGGGGCTGAAATATCTCAAAATCGTCAACTACAATTCTGGACAGAAAAGTCGTCGTCACAAGAAACGTCGTCGACGAAAGGTCCACTGTTAGAATTCTTTCAAACTCGAGTATGTTGTAGGCCTTGACCGTGGCTATCTTTCCCAATTTTAATATTATCAAAATATGGAGTATAACTCGAGTTATGAACTTCGGCGCACTAGGGGGTATGCTGCCATAGAAAACGTAACTCAATCACAATTATCTCACAAGTTCACACAAGAAAGTTAGAGTAGCAATTGAACCAGGTAGGAGGGGATGAGGAGGACGAGAGGGAAGGTCCCAAGGGAGTCCCCAACCAAGGACACCCCATACCACACAATTCCCCTCTCTATAGGCACCCCAACTTTGACATTTGTCACTTTCCCAACTCATGCCATCCACCTCACCCAACTTGGCCACACTTGCCAACCTGGTTTGGCACCTCCCAACCACTTGGCAGCATCTACAGTGATTTTGACGAATTTCCCAACCCCCAAGAGTCTGTACTCCTTATGGAGTCAACACCACAACTTCCCATAGTCACCACAACCAAATATCAAAAGCATACGAACTTCCAACGTTCGTAACTTTCTTGTTCGTGCTCCGATTGAAGCGATACTTGGTTCGTCGGAAAGCTCTTGAGCAGAGGAGTCACTTCAGATATCTGCTCAAGCCAAATAAAATTCACACACACTCAGAAAAACCAAACCGCACAAAACACAAATTCTTGCATACGCTCACACCACGCATGCAACGCACGAACACATGATGGGAGGCAGACAGACGTGAATGCATATGATTGCATCACACAACAGCTTGAACCTTTGTGACTGATATTCTCCTCCCCCATCTGACTGGAAGCTTTTCAGCTTCACTCCTGATTCTCGTTCTGCCACAGGTAGCCAGGCGACGAAGGCTGCGAAGGCCATGTCGCGACTCGGAAGGTTGAGATGCCAGACGTATCGGGTAGCGGCGTCAATAAAAGTGATGACATAGTCGTATGCTCCCTGTCCGTGTTCGCGGGCATACAAGATGTCGCTGTAGACTTTCTCCAATGGTGCGTAAACTGGCGCGCTCGGATTGTGGTGAGAGACAAACGGTTGATGAGGTAAGCCGGCTTCGGGGCAGGTAAAACATGTACCTCGGACTCGTTGAAGTTCTCTGCCGTCGGTAAGAAGTAGGGAGTCTTTGTCGAGTACTCCTGCCTTGATCGTGTTGTTTAACGTTGTGTTGCTTGGGTGACCCAATCTTTCGTGCCACAGTGATTCGCTCGCGCGGTGTCCTGGTGAGCGCCTGTATAGGTCGGAGTTGGAGTAGAAGCCGGTGGTGAAATTGGCGCTTCTGTGGACTTCTCGTGGAGTGGGAGTCAACTGCTGAGCGGAAGTCAGTGGCAAGTCGTCGATGGGGACCGGTGTTGCTGAAGGACCAGTGTGTGGTCTCGTAGTTGTTGTTGCTGCTACCGATGTCGTCTCTGCTGCTGCCGATGTTGTCTCTGCTGCTGCCAATGTTGTCTCTGTTGCTGCCGATGTTGTCTCTGCTTGCCGAATTGTTGCTAACGCTCTTGTTCTTTCTGCTTCAGGTATGGTGTGTGAGTACGAAAATCCTCCAGGACTGAAGTTGGGGTCGAGATCTGGCGGATGTGTCCAAGAGGTGAAGTTAACGATGGCGTCGCTGTCGGCGGTGCCTTGGTCTGGAACGAAGTCAAGAACGAAGACATTGTTCTTCAAGACTGCCTTGCCGATGTAGAGTCTGTCAAACTTATATGCTATAGTCTGTCTAGGCTGTAGTGGGGTAGTTCATAGAGGGCACAACACTTTTAGGTTTCCTACTTGTACCCATCTGCTTGCTAGTTCAGTCATTCCTTCCTTCACTATTCCGACATGGTATTCTGAGCAGGTTCCCTCGTGGGAACGTTTTTTTTTTTTAGGGCCCACCACGATAACTTGTTTTTTTCCTGCCCTGCCCGAAGCGCGCCTCGCGCCTGCCTCACCTGCGCCGTCGCGCGCCCTGCCCTAGTGCCACCCGTCGCGGCCTTGCCTT